CGGACCAATCGCCGAAGAATAAAGATTTGATCAGCACAATAACGACTAGAGAGAAATGCAGCATGCTCTCTAATCAGGGGGAGGACCATAAATTCTAGATTCGTCAACACGAGTTGAGTTCAATTTATTTGCTTCAGATGGCCATAGATAACTTTTGTATTATGCACTTGTAATAAGCAGGATGGACGTACTTATGGTCACAAGGACCTACTGTTCACTCATGTAAAATCGCAATCTAAACACATGCGCGCGTGGTCGGAACAGCAACTAATTTACTCTGACAGGATCTCTTCCAAATCGCAGAGCACTGACTGCAAGGTTTGTTGATCCATCTATTCCCTCCGTCTTTGAAAACAGCAGGCGGCAATCTGGCCAGCTCCGGAGCTTTGTAATAGCAGGGTTTCTTTAAGCAGTTTCATCTGCAAGGTCTGTGCGTTGGGCGCGGTTGTTTAATCGATCTGGAATACAAAATCTTCGGTACAACTCACCAGTCTCTGAAAGCTCTGAAATGGCGTTCCATTTACTTCGCTAATGGGTTCGCGTAAGTCGATTTCCCTGATGCTAGTAACTATTGTTGGTTGAAATGGCTTCCAGGAATTAACACAGAAAGCCTGATTATATCAATAAATCCCACACTCTGTTTCAACAAATAGTCAAAGCTCACTTTATGGAGGAACACTGCGTAATCTGCTGGAAAGGACTCACCGAGGGCATTCGTGAAAATCCATTGTTCGGTATGCCTCAAGGATAGTTCACAACTGGTATGGCTTGCATACCTCAGGATTTGCTTGATTTGTTCTCATTGTTCTTCGATGGTTTCCGAAAATGTACTCTTCAACCATGCAGAGATTTTATTCTGAAATTTCTCCAGTTTAGAAAACAAAACTGGAAGGTTTTTGGTTCTCACCCTCTTACAGTGTATTTCTTCAAACGCGTCAGCGACTCTACTTTCAACTTTCCTATCTTTCTCTTAATCCATTTAAATGGGTAACCAAACGACAGCAACCAAAACCGGTTCACGAAAGTACATGATTAATAGTTATACACACTGAAATTGAAGCGGTTTTAGACACCTTGCCACTTGTATCCGATACCTCCAAGAACCTCAGTGTAATCCGAATGGGTGTATTTTTTTATTGACCCATAGTGCCTTATACATTGTAAAATGTTCCTGGTATCTCAAAAGGCCCTGCTGAGGAAACCTTACTCACTGTTTTCACCGAGCGGAGGTGTTTTCCTACCAAAATTCAGTTTCAGCTTTTACAACCATTAATCATACGCTTTTGTGCGACGGTTTTGCTTGCTTTCTCATGACTTTCTATTTGGATAAAAAGGTAAAGGGAAGAAAAACGTTGCGAGCAGAGTCAAAGAGAAAATAGGGAATTCACTTAGACTAAGATTGATTAGGGGATACTTGAGCGTCACTGTTCACAGCACAACCATATCACACAGTATCAATAATGTGATACAAAGTGACATTTTCAGTGGGCCAGCCATACGCTTTGCGGATGAGCCTCTAATCCCCCGGAACTACCGCTACATGTCGTTATCAATGTAATGATGACTGCCTTAATTAGTGCTGAATCAGATTTACGCACATGACTACTTTCCACAGACATTTGTAGCTTTTAAGTGCGAATGAATCACCTGTCTAGCATCGCACCCTTAGATATCGTATTTGATCGCTCATTTTCAAACGACTGTGTCCAGAGAGCGGAAAGTGTGGTTCTGTCAAATCCCGGAAGCGATTGATGACATACTGGCATACTGTGTTCCATTCTGTTCGCGTACATTTGACCGGGCTTTGGAGGACCACAAACACTTAAAAGTCGTATACTGCACCACATAACGTTTTTCGTTTCATCCTTGTCTCCTTGAACACCACAGCACTGACCACATAAAATCAACCCCATGCCTTCTCTGGGCATCCTGTAACTGTGAAACTGGGAACTTCCTTATGCGATCAAACGTCACTGCAATCCGTTTTTCTTTTTCCTCTTAAACCGTTTTATTTATGCGTTTATTTTTCCCATTCGTAGCCAACCTCCCCCCTTTAGTTTTCGTTTAGTGCCGTTTTTCACACCATAGCTGTTCCCCATTCGGTGGAATAACTGCTGGTTTAGTGATTCGACCCAAACTTGTGAGTATTAGACTCAACTCTCTCGACTGTGGTAGGCGGCTTTGCCGTCGCACGGCTCAATACCACGCTTGAAACCTTGTGTTCAATCACTTCTAGTGTGACGATCACTTTTGTCACTGTGATTCACACCACCCACCTTCAAGTACCTGACTACAGCTTCCAATCATTTTTCCCTAAAGCTGGCGTCTGCGCCTTCATCCACCAATGAGTCGCCATCTCCAGAACCGCAGATCTTGACCTTTTCAAACGTGAATTTCAGCTGATTTAGATGAAGCTCGCACTTCTTTTTGTGTTTTGTATCGTTTCTCAAAAGTGACGACCCTGCCGTGTTTAATTTTCCATCTTCGAAAACAAAAATATCAAAAAGAGTACGATAAACTAAACAAAAATTTGTTATTCGAGTCATTCACCTTAACTGTGTGACACCTTTTTCTCTGTAATGTGACCTCATCTCCATGATCTGTTTTTCCTGTTGCTGCTCGCGAGCCGGTGATATATATATATGATTTGTTTAAAACTCCACCCGTGTTATTCCAGGTATGCTTCTTTTCATTCCGCACTTTTCTAAATCCGGTAAACCCAAATCCCCCGAAGAGTTTACACATGTATACGATCCTACCCCATGCATAAAACGCTCAGCAGTTCGCCGCTGGTACCGCTCGTTCACTCCCGACTACCACATGATTTTCGTGCAAGCCAGGAACAGATAAATGCTCGTCAACCATCCAAAACACCAGATCACATTTCGCTGGCTAAAACCCGTAGATGTCATCTCATTCACCTCCACTAACTGAAAATTTAGGTCCTTTGCGTAACGACTTTAGATAATTTCCGCACTTCCAACTTCTTCCATTCCTCTACCTTTAATTCCTCTGGTCATCTAGTATGAAAATCACACGAGAAAGCCGCGCTTCTTGTTTCCAGTTTGCCACCAACTCCACATTATCCA